ACATTTTTTAATGGAAGAAATAAAAATATGAAAATTTTACAAACACACAACACTACAAACTATTTTTTAGAATTATGGAAAATTTGTTATAAATGAAAAGACCAAAATATTATGAGAATGTGACGCACACATATAATAAATTAACAACAATAAACGAGTTTTTCAAACAAGATACAACTATATGATTAATTAATAATTATAAAACCGTTTTCTCGAATAGAATCAACCGAATAAGATTCAGTAATAACTATTAAAACATTTTTTTTCTGAAAAGACGCAACACTAAAATGCATTAATAACCATAAAATGGTTTATTCTCTATAACACACAACCATATAATGCTTTATATTTATAAAATGGTTTTTATAGAAAATACAACTTTATGATGTATTAATAACCATAAAATGCTTTTTACAAAGAGATACAACCATATGAAACATAATAATAATAAAACAATTTTTTGAAAAGATGTAATTTTACATAGACCAATATTTTCAAAAGACGCAATCCAACGATACATTAATAAACATTAAACGAAATTTTTTAAAAAGATGTAATCCTAAGATGAATTAATAACAACAAAACAATAACTATTTAGAAATACAACCTTAGAATGTATTAATAACCATAAAACGGTTTTTTGAAAAGAAACAACCCTATGGGATATTAATAACTAAAATGATTTTTTCGAAAAAACACAAACCTAAGAGACACTAATAATCATAAAACAATTTTTTTAGAAGACGAAACCCTAGCATTAATAACCTAGAATGTAAACTATCAAAAAATTTCTCGAGAAGATACATCTTTACATAAACCAATTTTTTTCTAAAAAGGCGCAACCTTAGGATGCTTTAATAACCATAAAACCAAATTTCTCAAAAAAAACGCAACCTTAGGATGTATTATTAACCACAAAATGGTTTTACTAAGAAGACGCAATCAAATCATGTATTAATAACTATAAAACGGTTTCTTTAGAAAGCCACAGTTCTCAAAGATATTGCTAACCATAAAAAAAGCTAAAAAACGCAACGTTTAGAGATTAATAACCAAAAACATTTTTTTCAAAAACTCAATCCTAAGAAATATTAATCACCGTAAAACAATTTGTTTTAAAAAACGCAACCTAAGAGACACTAATAACCATAAAAACAAAATTTCGAAAATGTATAACCCTAAAAGACACTAATAACCATAAAATATATTTTCTGGAAACACAACCCTAGCGTTAATAACCATAAAATCGTTATTTAAAAAAAAAAACAACCCTAAAATATATTTCTCAGGATTGCTATTATTGATAGACGTGATCCTTTAAAAAAAATCTAGAATTATTATTTAAATAAAAAAACAAAATATTGTGAGACTCTAAAATAAATTTTGACGTTTTTATCACATCATGTTTTGAGTGAATTTTAAAGTTAGTAATCATAAATAAAAAAAAACGTTCAATGAAACAAATATATAGAGTTTGAAAAACACAAATCTATATAGCAGTGTTTTTTGAAAAGATGCAACCATAGAGATTAAAAACCATAAAACGTTTTTTCGAAATGGCGCAATCCAAAAAGACACTAATAACCGTAAATATAATATCTTGAAAAGATGCAACCCTATCATTAAAAACCATAAATATATGTCAAACAGTCTTTTTCCAAAAAATGCAACCCTTGAAAATAACCATAAAGTGGTTATATTAAAAATATGCAATTTTTGGAAATCGGTTACTTTTGAAAGGACACAACCACAAAACAGTTATATTGAAAATGCGCAACCCTTGGAAATAACGATAAAGTGGTTATATTGAAAAAAACGTAATTTTTGAAAATAACAATAAAAGGATTATTTTCGAAAAAACACAACCACAAAGCGGTTATCTACATATTAAATGCAACATTTGGAAATAATTAGAAAGCGATTATAAAAAAAAGACACAACTCTTAGAAATAACCATAAAACAGTTTTTTCTGAAGGACACAATCTTAAATAACCATAAAGCGGTTATATAAAAAAGGCAACTTTTGAAAAATAGGTTATATAAAAAAAAGACAACTCTTAGAAATAATTATAAAGCGGTTATATTGAATAAACACAATCTTTCAAAATAACCAATAAACGCTTTTCCCCGAAAAGACGCAATTTTTGGAAATAACTATAACTCGGTTATTTTCGAAAGAACACAACCATCAAGCAGTTATTTATATAGTAGATGCAACCTTTGGAAATAACCATTATACGATTACATCGATAAAACACAACTCTTTAAAAAATAATTATATAAAAAAGACGTAACCCTTGAAAATAACCATTAAACGGTTATTTTCGAAAAGACACAACCTTAAATAACCATAAAGCAGTTATATCGTAAATGCAACTTTTATAAAATCGGTTATATGGTAAAACGCAACCCTTGGCGCACAAAAAAAACGTTTTTCCTTCCACACTCATTTCACGGATTGGAACCATAGCTATTCGTCAAACCAATAGAACAATTCATGGATTTTTAGGCCATATAAATTGATTCACTTTTTAATTTAGAATTTTTAAGTCATCCATTGCATATAAAAAATATAGTTGATAACCAAATTGCCTCTATTTTGTAGTAATGTTAACGCGGTTTCAATATTTCGATGTATTACAACCCGTAAAAACTTCTTTCAAATATAAAAAATCAATGTTTTCGTGGAGAATTGTTAGATTTTATTAGTTTTTTTTATATGTAAAATTTGCCACAAAATCTGCATTGTCTAAAAAAATCCAAAATTCTTTACACAATCAAGAATTTTTGGAATTTTTACAATAGTAAAAAGTTTAATACTATTAAATAACTAAATTTAATCGAACGACTTTTTTTATCTTTACTATGTGTTAAGTTAATTACAGAAACAATATGCATGATTAACAAAATGTTCAACGGGATAAAAAAAGTGAAAAGATATACTCCCTCCGTTTCAAAATATAAGTTGTTTTAGTTAAAGTCGCGACTATTAAGAAACTACTTTTCTTTAAAA